GTATGGAAGAAAGGGAGTCAGGAATCTGGGAGTTAGAGCTGGGGGTTTAGTTTATGGGTGGGTGCTGACAACTGAATCTCCCTTTTTTAGGCGTCTTTCCTACCGCCCACAGGAAGTAGGATCTCAGCCTCTTTTGGGGGTCACTCAGGGGTGTTCTTTGCAAAGCAATAATACCAACGTATTTTTGCGCTTTCTGGGAACATGCCTTCATCTCTACGAAGCATCATACATGTGCATTATTGTAGGCAAAGCCAGCATACAGGAAATCACACAATAAGAGGCAGCACTGCTTTCTTTGTTGCCATGGAGACTGCAACAAAGCCTGAAGGAAGGTGGGTTGGTAGCTAGACAGACCGGGATGGCATTTTTGACTGCAGTTTCCTCAAGTTCTTCTCTTGTGTGGGAAGTCTACTAGCTGTGGTGTGTGGGATGGATGGTTATATTGGGCCGGCGAAGGGCCTGGTACTTTGTGCACCAGATCCAACACACATCCCTTTTCGAATACCGCATTGGCAAATTCTAGGGAGTGCCAATCCATTTTTATAGATAAGCAAGCTTAAGGTATATTTCAACCTTAGACTTGTAATATTTAGAACGAGAAGAGCAGATTCCATTGGGCCAGCAGTATCTCTCTCTCTCTCTCTCTCTCTCTCTCTCTCTCTCTCTTTTTCTTTGTTTTTTTTTTTTTGAGACAGGGTTTCTCTGTATTGCTTTGGAGCCTGTTCCAGAACTATCTCTGCAGACCGGGCTGGCCTTGAACTCACAGAGATATATAGATCCACCTGCCTCTGCCTCCTGAGTGCTGGACTAAAGGCATGCACCACCAACGCCTGGCCAGCAGTATCTTTCTAGCAAAGGAAGCTGATTATTGTGTTGGGGGAATCTTTTTTGTTCAGGGATGTCATGCACATGGGCATGCACACACACACACCTACCCCAGTGACTTGATCAGCCTAGACACACACACACCCCTACCCTATGTAGGCACCTCAGTGACTTGTAGAACAGATAGGGTTGACAAGGGAAGATCACCCTGCTCCTGAGTTTCCCAGCTATCTTGTTTTTTTCCAGGGGAAACAGAGAAAGAAAACAACAAAGTTTCCAGCCAACACTCACCTGTCTGAAGGGTGGACTTGGGATTTTTAGCAGGTTGGGATATGACCCGAGAGCAGGGCCATAAGTGTTTGTGAGGGAGAATAGGGCATTTCCAGTACCTACCTAAGGACCAGTTAAGTTGAGAATCTTCTTGTTCACAGAGCTAGTCAATAGAGAGTGTGTTGCTTCCTCACTAGTCCATAGGCTCCTGTACTCCACCATTTGATCTGTTTACCTGACTCGTTACCTGGCATGTAGTAGCTGCATGCTGAATATTTACTGAATATAATTAGTCATTTAAGATGTTGGTAGTGGAATTTATTTTCAGGCAGCATGTGGATAAAAAGCTGAAGGGGATTTGAAAACACCTGAATTCAAACTCTAAGAATAATGTTTAGTAAGTTTAATGTCCACTTTGTGAAGCACCTGCCTTGCCCAGGCTCTTCATTTCAGTGAGAGTATCAGAGCCCTCAGGACTTTCCCTGTCCATGATCAAGGCAGGCAGTGAACCAAATGTATTTTGTGTGTGTGTGTGTGTGTGTGTGTGTGTGTGTGTGTGTGTGTATGTGCACTTGTGAATCACATAACATATATATGAGATTCGCATGCACATGAGTGTTAGGAGATTAGCCAGAAGGAACTCTTCTTGTTTTGATTTTTGAGAAAACTATACCAGTTTGCCTGTCTTAAGCTCACTGGTCTTAGAGGTCAAGATACTTGAAGTAGAAAAAGTTTATCCCACTTCACAGTCACAGGGGATGGTCCATTGCGCCAGGGAAATCAAGGGTGGGAGCTTGAAGCAGCTGGTCACATATCCACACCCAGAAAACAGGGTCAAGACTCACTTCACCTCCATTTCATTTCCTAGTCATTTACTGTGTGTTTATGTTGGTGTGTAAATGACATAGTGTGGAGTTGGTTCTTGCCTTTGACCATTTGGATTCTAGGGACCAAACTCAGGCCCTGTGGCAAGTACCTTTACCTGTGGAGATATCTCAATGGTTCAGCCTTCTCTATTTTATAGTCCCATTATCAACATCTTAAATGATTAATAAGCTTAGGAAGTGCTGTATTAAGATGTGTCTCCTACATCGATATAATCAGGACAGTCTCCCACAAACACATCCAGGGGACTCATCTCCCAGGTGACTGGAGAGCCTGTTAGAGTGACAATCATCATACCATATATCTATTGTGCAACTGGAGTAGCAGCACTTTACTTGGGTGAGCCTTATCTTCCACTGTAAATTGGGAATGACAATAGAACTTAATGCCAGAGAACTAAATGAGAGAATATGTGTAGATCCCTTAGGCAAGATGACAGCATATAAAAAGTGTTTGGTCCTGGAGTTGGGTGTGGTTATGCATATTTATACTCCCAGCACTTAGAATCATGAATTGGGAATTGGCCACAGACAGGCATTATCTGGAAAAAAATCTACATTTTTTTTTTCTGAGTCAGGGTTTCTCTGTGTAGCTCTGTAGACCAGGCTGGCCTCAAACTCACAGAGATCTGTCTGCCTCTGAGGCCTTTCAAGTGCTGGACTTAAAGGTGTGTGCCACCAATGCCAGGTCTGCCAATATAGATCTTATAGCGTAGGAAATGTGCTCAGGTTACCTAGATTCTCTTCATTGTCATAGATGGGTCATTTCAGCTTTCAAGATTCCTGGTGAAATTGAAGAAATCCCAATTGATTGAGATATCCTGGTGCAGTTGCAAATGCAAGTTCAGTGACCCAAGTTGTTTGTGGATTCACATCCTCCCATGGATTGATGGGATGCCTGTTGAGAGTGTGTCACTGTGTACCTTTGTGGTGGCTTTCTCACTTGGGCCAACCAGTCATGGTTCCTCTGCAGCTTATGTTGGTTGCAGTAGGTACTATGGTCACAGAGAAGGTGGTAGAATGCTGAGTAGCTATCTATGTAATTTCTGGTGACTGTCTTCAATGCTGCTAGTGAGGTAGATGTATTGAAATTGCATCCTTGGTGCAACTGGATAGTCAGGGCCTAGCTTCAGTTAGTCCGGGCACTTCTCCATTGTAGTCATTAGTGTATGTTAAGCCTTGTGATTCTAAATGCGTTTACAAAGTGATTATGGTTTTCATTCCCAGTTAGTCTGTTAGCAGTGCTAATTTGCTGGTGTAGTGCTAAGTTTGAAGAAATTTGGAGAGATCTCATACAATTTGAAGTCGGGTTTAAATGAGTCCACCAGATCCAAGATAATTGATAATTAGGCATTTATTAGGGACGCACTTACACAGGTAAGAGGAAATAACTGGGACTTCTTGCTGCAGAAAGTGCAGTTTCTGCCCTTCTGAAGCTCTCACTGCAACTCAAGAGAGCCAGAGCCAGACTGTCCTCTACCTTTTAAGGGTTCACATCTGAACCTGAAACCATGCCCAAAGGATTTGGCCACCACCACAAGTTCACTGGCAAAGCTTGGAGCAGCATTAGCCAAAGGACAACCAAAAGCTTGACTCTTTGGGGATGGAGGAAGTTGCTGAGGTGGGAGACAGTAAAGGTGGATGGTGGATGCTGCTTCTTGAGGGACAAAGGTGGTCCACCAGAAAGATTCATGTTAGCCTCTGGAACTTTGCTTCCCATGTAAGAAGAAAGAGAATTTCCCACCCAGGAAATGTAGTTTCTTAGGATTCTCATTCAAAGTTGAACTTTGGAGGACCCTCTTGTGTCCTGGAGGTTCTTTGCTAGTCTCAACCACATGGTCCAGGGAAGTCTTGTCTCTGGGGAATGGTAACCTTGATCATGTCCTTCAATTGGACAGCCACTCTCTCCATTAGCATTGGTTTCAGGGCTAGCCCTTCATCATTTGAATATTATAATATGCATATATACATACATAATACATATGTAATTCCATCATCCAGCCATTTTGATCACCTGCCTCCTCACCCTGCTCTCAGCCTATCGGCTGTGGGTATCTGAGTGCTTTGGCTGCTTGCCTCCTCTCACCTCTTGTCTCTGCCTTCACTCTGCTGTCCTCTTTAAGGAGCTCATCAAGGCTGTGCAGCTGACCTTATCTGGAAGGGCTCAGACTTTGCATTCCAGTGTAGTGTATTTTACTGTGAATTTACCATCTGACACTTCACTTGCTGCTGCTATTCCTAGCTTCTCTGTACAGCAGGTTCAAGTTGGGAAGCACATCCAAGAAACTCAGCTCCCTATCTGAAAATCATAAAAACAGATTTTTTTTTTTGGCATCTTTACAGAAGTGTGTGTGAGAGTCAAAAACCAGGACATAGCTTGTAAGTTGTAATGCTGCAGGGGTGTCCTGATTTTTCTGAACTTGTTTACTTGCAGTTGGCTCTGCTTTGGGCCTGTTTCCCTATGTGTAAATGAGCAGTCTGTCTTCTGTGGGTGCTGTAAAATTACGTACCCATTGTAAATGTCTTGACAGAGATGATCTTGGTTTTGGTCAAGGCCCAACCAAATTCTACATTCCTCTATGAGCCTGGGGGCCACCCACTTTCCAGGTAGGTAAAAGGTGTTTGTTCCCTTTTGCGGCAGAGGACGGGAGAAGAGTTTTGGGAAGTGGGGAAAGCCACTGTGGCATGTAGAGATTTTCAAACTGGGTTCGTGTTGGAGGCGATGGAGCTTCCGCAAGTGTCTGAGTGTGGACAGAAAATGAAGGGACTGAGGCATTCAGGGTCAACATACAGCCTGGCCGCAGAGGTTAGTGTCGTCTGAGGGCGCTACCCCCTTCGCAGCCTGGGCCTCTTGGTTCGCCCCGCCGTGACAGCTCACGTGAGGGCCATCCTGGGCAGCCTAGCGCGCAAGCGCTCCGTGGTCCTGCGCGCCGGGGGCTGGAGCGGACTCCATTTCCCCTGGAGCTGCGGGGCGGGGCGGGGCGCCAGGCCAGGGCGGCCGGGGGCGGGGGCAGTGGGGAGGTGTCGCCAGGCCGGTGGACGCGCGCCTGTGCGGCCTGCTCTGGGCCATGTCCGTGTGAGGACGTCGCAGCCGTCATCCCCTCCTTTCGGGCCGGCCAGTCGAAACGCACACCATGGGCTCCATCCTGAGTCGCCGCATCGCGGGCGTGGAGGACATCGACATTCAGGCCAACTCGGCCTACCGCTATCCTCCGAAGTCGGGTGAGTTTACGGGGGCGCAGACCATGGGGCGCGGACTGGGGACACCAGGAAGCTTGGGGGCCTGACGAGCGAGCGCCCTGTCCTGCGGCGGGCCGTCCTCCTGTTCCCCTTCCCGGTACCTGTGGAGTCTGAGGCGTGGCTGCGGCCCTGGCTATCCCCACTGGCCTCTGACGCACTCTGTGGGCCCCTTCCTAAGTGACCTTGGGCCAGTCACTTTGCACAACCTCTGAATGCACCCGGGCTTGGCATATGAGGGATCAGTGTGCGTTGTGGTGAGGACTACCTCTCTCCCGGGGGTCGCCGGCTTTGGAAGCATGAAGACCGGCCCTGGCTCCTGACAACTCTTTCGAATTTGGACCCAGGCTTTTCCTCCTATCCTGCGGGTGAGGGACACTGGTATTTGACCCGGGGAGATAATCGATAGGGAGCTACTGGGATTCCCCTGGAGAACAGGATAATGGTTGGAAAGGACTACTGTACCCTCCCCTCTTGTGCAGGGCAGACTCACTGGTAGATTATGGAAGCTGGAAGCAGAGTAGGGGACCAGCATCAGATATGCTCCCAGAGGACTCTTGCACCTATCTTTCCTCGTGTGTGTGTGTGTGTGTGTGTGTGTGTGTGTGTGTGTGTGTGTGTGTGTTTAAATAAGGACAGGATCTTATGTAGCCTAGGCTGTCCCAAACTCATTATATAGCTGAGGGTGACATTTGAACATCTGGTCCTCCTGCCTCTAGTCTCCAAGTGCTGGGATTGCAGGTGTGCACCACTTTGCTCACTTTTATGAGGTGGTGGAGACTTGAATTAGACTTAACTAGAGCATGCTAGTCAAACACTCTTATCAACTTAGTCACATTCCTAGACCAGCTCCCCCCCTCCCAAGACAGAAACCCTGTTATGTAGCTCTGGCTGGTTCAGTACTCACTGTGTAGCTGATATCAAACGAGGTGGTTCTCCAGCCTTAAGCTTCTGGTGCTGAGATTACAGGTGTGCCCCATTATAGCCAACTATGAGTGTGGCTTTTAGCTACATTTACTTCTGTACAGTTTCCTGGTAGGGTAGAACATTGAACATATCACTGGATATCCAGTCTTCTGAGTGTCCAATGTGATGATTGCTCTTCAGGTGTTTTTAGACCAGTCAGGCCAGATTTCCTGCATGGTCCAAAAGTATCTGCTTCCTTAGTTGGACAGCTTGTTAAACATTTCAGGACATACTCCAAGACTTGTTTTGGCTTGGGGACATGTATTTTAAGTCCATTTTCTCTGGTGTGTCTGATATCTACTCAAGTTTGAGAAAGTACTCTGTTCCTGTAAGTTCCTGGGAGCTCCCAGGATGAAAGAGAAGGAAACTGGCAGTGTGATACTCAGAATGGGGTGGGGTCACTTGTCAGTGCAGTGGACATTCATGTCTATGTGCATCTCCAGTACAGGCTGCAGCTCCAGAGGTTCCCTTGGAGACTTCAAGGACAGCTCTCTATGGTCTCCCCATTCTATAAAATGGCTTGCTGGTTTATAGTGCTGGACAGTTAAAATTTTTTTTCTGAAAATATTAGTTACTATAACTACTTCAAAGATGACTAGGTGAATGACCCAGATATTGGAAAGCTAGCTTACTGTGGCACGTTCCCTACCTGTGGACCAGGCTGGCCTTGAACTCACAGAGAGCTGTTGCCTCTGCCTCTCAAGTGCTAGGAATAAAGGTGTGTGCCACCACTGCCCAGCTTACCTGAGCAGTCTTAATGTCCATTTACTTAGGCAGTTGAATAAAACAATGTGTGGCATGTGCCTGCACTACAGATCCACTGTAGCAGGCATTTCTGATTGCTTAAGACACTCCTCCCACCTGGATGGGGTCTTAGAATCCATCCCACAAATCCTAGCCAGCTGTGGCTAATCAATTAGTGCTGGCACAGCAGCTGAAATCCACTGGCCTCCTGGGCTTGCCCAGGTTGCCATTCATATATTGCTGAGTTCTGGGCCTGCCCAGTCCAACGGTTTTTGTTGGTTTGGTGTGTTTTTTTGTTTTGGGAATGGATGCCACCTAGTGAGTTCTATATCTTTCTAGGTAAGCATATAGACAATATATCTTTCATTGCTCTTCTCCCCTAGTTCTTCACTTAACATGGGAGCCTCAAGATCTTGGTGTGTAAACTGGGAATGCAGAAAAGTGGAACATTTGAAGGGTACTCCCACAAATTGTTCAACTTTATGAAATGGACTTTTCAGGCTTCTGCTGATTTTCTTGGTTATTTCTAGGAGAAGCGTGCCAATTTTTGTTATTTTCCTTTCTTTTTGGTTTTTTTGAGACAGGGTTTCTCTTTGTATAGCCCTGGCTATCCTGGAACTCACTCTATAGACAAGACTAGCCTCAAACTCACAGAGATCCCCCTGCCTTTGCGTCGTGAATGCTGGAACTAAAGATGTGTGCCACTACCTCCTCAAGTTGTTTTCTTTAAAGCTGTTTATTTAGGTGGGACACACTTTTAGTCCCACCTCTTGGGATCTCTATGTAGACCAGGCCAACCTGATCTGTACAGCAAGTTCCAGGCAAACCAGGAGTACATAGTGAGACCCTGTTTCAAAGTACCGTTTTTTATTTTATGTGTGTCTGTGTGCCAAGTGCATGCAGTGCCTGTGGAGGCCAGAGGAGGGCACTGGCTCCTGTGGACAGACAGTTGCCATTACTATGTTGGCACTGGGAACTGAACTTGGGTCAGTTACAAGAGCAACAAGTACCCCCAGGGTTTCTCTATGTAGCCCTGGCTGTCCTGGAGCTCACTCTGAGACCAGTCTGATGTCATACTCACAGAGATCTGCCCTTCTCTGCCTCCTGAGTGCTGGGACTAAAGTTATGAGCCACCACTGCAACAAGTACTCTTAACTGCTGAGCCATCATTAGAGCCCAAGTAATTAAAAAATTTTTATTAGATGTATTCATTTTTTTTTATATGTAAATGTTTTGTTTGCATGTATGTGTGTATACCATGTGAATGCTTGGTGTTTGAGGAAGCTAAAAGAGAGTGTGGATCTCTTAGAACTGGAGTAAAACCACCATGTGGTGCTGGGAATTGAACCCAGGTTTTCTGGAAGAGCAACAAGTACAACTAAGTACCACTAAGCTATCTCTCTAGCTCCCCAGGTAATTAACATCTCACGAGGTGCAGTTTTCTTCCTAAGGGAATTTTCATGTGCTGTCAACAGTGCTGAGCTTGAGTTCAATAATATCTGCTTTGCTTTCATCTATTTATTTTACTCTGAACAGCTTTATTGAGGTATAACTGATCCATTTTAAACACCAATAGATTTTTAGTAAATGGGTAGAATCGTGCAACCATCATAATCAATTGTGACCTTTCTCTTCCTAAAGTTACTTTGTGCCTGTTTGTAGTTAGTCGTTAGTCTTATATCAGTGTTCCGTTTTCTGTCTTTGCAATTTTTCTTTTCTGGACATTTCACATAAATAGAATCATACAATCTAGAGGTATTGTATGTGTGGCTGGCTTCTTTGACTTAACATAATGATTATGTCTTTTGGAGACTACTGTCCATCAGGTTGACATGGAATTTGCTGTGTAGCCTGTGCTGACTAGAACTCCTCCTGCCTCAGTCTCAAGTTCCCTCCCAGAACATTACAGGTTCCCCTAGTGCATATCTGTGGTCACAAAGATGCCTGGGCCACCTCCAACTGCTTTCCTTATAGCCTGGAATTTTTTATGTAGGTCAAGTCTTGAAACTCACAAAGATTTTCGTGCCTTTGCTTCCTAGGTGCTGAGATTAATTTAATTTTATGTGTATAGGTGTTTTGTTTACATGCATATCTATGTACCACATGCCTGCCTGCTGCCTGTGGAGACTGGAAGATCCCCTAGAACTGGAAGTTGTGAGCTACCATATGGGTGCTGGGAATACAATCCAGGTCTTCTAGAAGAACAGCTAGCACTTAACTACTTAATTTTTTTTAAAGATTGAGTCGTTTGAGTTAATGTTCTGCCTACATGTATGTGTATGCACCACATGGGTGCCTGGTGCCCTTGGAAGTCAGAAGACATGGGGTCTTTTGGAACTGGAATTAGGCATTGTCATAAGTCATCATGTTGGTCTCTGCAAAAGTAGCAAGTGTTCTTAACTACCTAGTTCTCTCTCTAGCTCTTCGATTTGCTTTATATTTTGTTTTTGTTTTCCAACAGAGTTTTACTCGATAGGTCATCTGGCCTTGAACTTAATATGTTGCCAATGAGGCCTCTTTCTCTCCCAGACATCCTCCTGCTTTAGCTTCTCTCTGCTGGGATTACAGATAGGAGTCACCACACTTGGTTCAGTTTAACAGTTTTGAAAGTGAATAATGCTTTTGGATTAATAGTTAAGAAACCTTTGCCTGGCTTGAGGTCACGGATTCTCTTTATTTGGGGTAGGGTGGTGGTCGGTTTGTGTATATCGTATGCATGCTTATGAATGTATGGGGTTTCTGTTCTTGTCTTCCTTGTTTGTTCTGTGCTTTGTATAGTGAAGCAGAATCTCTCACTTGAACCCAGAGCTGGCCAAATTTGACTGTTCTAGCTATTCAACTTGCTCTGGGTATACCCTAACTCTGCCTCCTGAAATTGGAATTACAGGTGGGCCACTATGCTCACCCAACATTTACATTAACATTGGGATCCAAACTCTGGTCTTCACATTTGCCATGCAGACCCTTGACCCACTGAACCATTTCCCCAGTCCTCTCCTAATTTTTTTCTAGTTTAAGTGTAACATGAGAGAATAACATGTTGGAGTTGGTTCTTGTACTGCATGGGTCCTGAGGATTGAACTCAGGTCATCAAACATGGTAGCCAGTGAGCCATGCTGCCATGCCTTCTTCATTCCATGTAAAACATCCCCTTTCCATCAGAGGGCTGCTGGTCTTTGTCAAAACCCAGAGTACCGTAAATGTCAGAGGGTTTATTTCTGAACAGTCTCTCTCTTTGCTTTGTAATTCCCAGTGTTTCTCAACTGAGTTTTGTC